GGTCTCACATTTTGCTTGCAAAAATAAAATATAAATTGAATATTTTTGAGTATCTTAATTTTCTCCTTATTTACAATTTTTCAAAATATTTCTATTATTCAATGCATACATATTTGCATATTACATACAAAAAATAGATAACAGAATTCAAATTTGTGAACGAATTCATTTGAAGCCGAGCGATCTGGCAACCGTTCAAAGAATTTGAAAGTGAAAAGGAATGCTGAAAAGGGTAGCAGCGAGCTGTTAGGAACAAGAACACAAAGCGTGCCACCCGAACGCGAGTGACACGGTCCCTTCGTCTTTCCTCTAACTTTTACTCGTCTTGTAGGGATATACCCCTATTTAAAAAAATGAGCACATGTTCTAAACTATTTATTTGAACTAAGACCAGCTAGAGTTGGACTTTGGAACTCTTAAATAAAGGGAATTCACCGATATTAAAGTCAAAGCTCAATAAACGAGTAAAATTAATATCATCGAATATCATTCTTAACTGGCTGCTCAAACCGAAATGGATATATGATCCACCTGGGACATTAATTATTATAGGCTTCACCACAGAATCAAATTTATAAAATATTATTTAATATTTTCATCTCTTAATATTTCCAATAGATCACTTACACAATCTCGAGGGGCATATGTTTTCGAAACCATCCAGCTAATATAGTACATAAACAATCTTTTTGTGAAACTGCCTGTAAATCTATCTCACTGTTTAAAACATATTAATCTAGTTCTACCACTTTCTCCTTTTTTCACTTTTTGTATTTTCTTACTGTAACGTCAAGGTTTACTCAAATATACATTCAACCCTTATATTTCCTGTAGTAGGCCAGTAGTCCTGCCAGTTCGAAAGTTATGAGTTACGTTGCAGATACACGATCATTAACTTGGTTTTAAGTGATCATACAAACTACTTGTCAAAATTGACAGCTTTGACGTAGGCTGCAAGCAAGTAGATAATTAGTAATAATTTGAAGATTCTTTAATCACGGAAACCACATTCAATATTCAAACAAAATTCTAGAAATTTTTGTGTGAAATTAATAATTTAATAGAAGAATAAGTTGAGAAAGGCCATTTCATTATACGAACCCTACTTAGGGGGTTTTCAAAATCAAGATTTTTTCCTTTTTTCAACTTTACATGTTCTGCACTATAAGCAATTCTGGGACACAGACATTTTTATTTCTGCAGAAATTGATTATTATATCAATTTGTTGATATCAATCCATTAATATAATGCAATTTTCATATTTCCCGCAATTGCATGGCATTTGTTTGCAAACGAGGTAATCAGCTTTTTAACTTGATCGTCAAATTGCCCTACGACTTGAATGGAAAAACTGAGACAGCTTCAAAATTCGAAAGAGTGTGGTAGTAGAAAAGTGTGAGTTTATTGGAACCTAAAAGCAATTTATTGATCATGTAACGTCCCCACCCAGAATATCCGGGTTGAAAAAAATGATTGTACTCAGTTTTTCGACCTGTTACTGACATGTGTGGCCATCGAGTTATGACGAAAGTTTTGGTTATTTTCTTAGAAGCTTTATCAAAATTATGTAATGTTGGGTGGGTCTAATCGACTTCTCCGTAAATTAACGTTATTTAAGCGATCACTGTGAGTAATACCTATACTTCCACAACAGCAGATTCTCCGATACCAGAATTGACTCAGATTTTATGCGGCCAAGGGATCTTATTTCGAGGCTCAAACCCTGTTTAGGTAATAAATTAGTGGGTAGGTAATAAATTAGTATTTTCCTTACGTTTAGTGCAACACCTAGCAGCAAATTTGCTCTATATTCTCCAGATTCGTGCTGGCATTTGCGACACGGGAATTTTTCAATGATTGGAGTCATGTTAAGACCTTGTAGGAGTAGCCATGCTGCCAACGCACTACTGTGACAACGACCTCTATGGGCGTGCAAAATGCACCTAGTTCGCGCGATGCGCCGCCACTCCTGCCGAGTGACCAACAAGGAATATCACCGCTACCACGAAGCTCAACTAAGCAGCATGATTCCCAGACTGATCAAACCTCGTAACTTTTATCTCGCTCCGATTTCCGTGCGAGGGTCACAAGACAATTCCTGGTTCCTCGTACCGTATGTTCAGTGTGTCAGACCGTAATACGTAGGAATATCTCATCAGTTAGTTGCAATGTCTGCTCTGGCCGGTGTCTTTTCCATACGTGGTCCGGTGTGCGCACCTCACGTGAATCAAGTGTGTCGTTAGTTTCCCCTTGCTGTAGGAGTCTGCTCCCGCAACAGCCGTCCATGGCCTAACAAATAGACGACATGACATTTTGCGCAATGAATGACGAAGCCGAAGTCTGATAAACTACATAACCTGTGCTAAATCTCGCATAAGATCATCTGCCCATAATAATCTCTATCAAAAAACCTCCCTACTTTATTTCTGTGGATAATCGCACCTACGTTAACTTTAATAAAGCTAACTGGGTCAGCTTCACAGCACCTTCAGCGTATACCCATTCCTACACATATTCGTAAGCGAACGACAATTCCGCAAGGTGATCGCTGCTGCTTCTGCCCGCTTTCTTCTCGCTGGAAGAACTCAACAACCACAACCATATAACCAAGCGAACCAACAGTCTTAGCAAATGAGCGCGACTCCTTACGCCAGGTCGATCCCTATGATGATTTAGGACATCAAATAAACATCGCTCCCTCCGGGACCATAAACTATCTGCGGTGAACTATCATCTGTACTATTCCAGGGTCAACGTTCTAAATTAAGGAGAATTAAACGGCAGATTCCGCAGAGTGGTGTCCTTTAGCCGCTACTATTTAATCAATGCATTTTGAGGATGATTGTACAATAATGACGTCGGGCAATGAATTTGATGATTTTAGCTACCCTATTTATAAACTGGTCGAAGGAATACAGATTGGACTTCGACATTTCCGTCGAGGATTTCAACATTCCGTTAACAGCCTAAAAATATTAGGTGTCGCATTCGACAGTCTGAACTCCTCCACTTCGCACATGACCGCGATTGTTGCAAAAAAACGAAACGCAACAAGTTCTCAAGTCGATGGCCGGTAGCAATTAGGGTAAGATAATATAGAAGAAGTTGTTGGCAACATACAAGGTAATCGGCCAGCCGGTCATTAACTACGCGGCCCCAATATGGTCGCTTGGAAACAACAAGACGCAGATGGAGAAGATGCAGACCTGCCAGAACATCAAATTCTGGACTATCTTTCAACATATCGACGAACGAAAACTATATATCGACCAAATTTCGAACACGACCAACTTGAAGTCCAAACACCATCAATAGCAAAACAAGAACTCGAGTTGCCGCATGAAACCAAAATGATCCTTGCGCAACTTCGTTCTGGATATTGCAGCAGGTTCCTACTGATCCAGAATAGACCCTTACATACAAAACCTATATCCTGATCTTACTAGTAAGTAAATGTAGTCGATGACAGTTAATTTATTGCTGTCAACCAAATCGTCTACCTTGTAACTCACACTTGAGTTAGATAACTGGATTGTTAAATAAAATCCCCAATTAAATGGCTATACACTTATCTTTATTTCTTATTCCAACAACTTAACACTTATTGCTCGTTTTATTCGAGCTTACAACTTCTTGCTTATGTCTCAATTGCTCTTAACACAACAATACTCTAACAAGAACTGTGTGTGGTCCACAATCTGGCAGCCCTTATATAGTGGATCTTTAACAAAACTTCGCCTCTAGGACATTCTGGCAACTACGAGTTCGTGTCTAGTTGCTTCTGGCAATTTAGCACTCATTCGACTATGTTCTACAATCCGTGTTTGTCACACTGTCCTTCACCTAAGTATGATCATCCCAATTAGACATATTTGCGGTATCAAACACAAAGCTTTTATGTCCATTATCTAGACTGGTGTTAACTTCCTTAGCCGTCCTTCTCTTTCTGCAGTTAATTCCATCCGTTTTCCGGATACCCAGTTTCTGGTACATCCCTTGACCTAAAGCTGACTTGAGATTACATTCTTGATCAGAGCGGAACTTCGTTAAAACACTTGTTTATGAATGCGTCCCCCACTGGTTCAGACTCTTCATTAAGAATTGTGTACACTACTAGCCATTTGTTGAAATGGTCTTTAACTACCAAATCATGACTTTTTCCTAATTTATTGGTTTGAAATGGACCATCTTCATCCACGTCAATTTGCTCAACTGGCGCACTCGACTTGCACTGTTTCATAGGACCCTGACTCCTGGACCTTGAACTTTTAGATACAATGAACTCAGCATATTTCGCAATACTCTCCATTGCTCTTAACACGACAACACTCTAACTAGAACTGTGTTTGCTGCACGATCTGGCAGCCCTTATATAGTAGATTGTTAACCAAACTTCGCTTCTCGAACATTCTGGCAACCACGAATTTCGCTATCTAGTTGGTTCTAGCAGGTTATCGTCGATTCTGATATGTTCTATCATCCGTATTAATGCACAAACAGTCACCGACATTCCTCCCTTCCGTACTTACCGGCCGTATTAAACCAAATTTGTCCAAAGTTATACCCGTAGTTGCAACGCAGAAATCGGTTGTTCCTTTTTGTTTTCATTCCACCAATGTTGCCATTTCTGTTTTTATACACGATTTTTTACACATTTAGTTATTTAGTTATAATTTTTCGTAATGTAAAAGGTCAAAACTAAAAACCAACTATTAAAAATAGTTTGCCTATTTATAAATAAGTATATTCTTTTTTGAGAATATTGCAAATATATTTCAGTCAATGTTTTATTACAACAAAATATCGAGATTGGCAACCCTGCGTTGCAAGAGAGTGCTCTCTCTCAGCTCACTCGTTTCTATGGAAAAATATCCAATTTTCGCGGATATCTCAATGTACGGTAGAAGCGGTAGTGACTGTTCATATACATTGCGATCTCAAAAGGTAGGTCGTATCAGCTGATTCAGTACACGTCGGTGACTGTTTGTGCCTTTAGTCTGAACTGTAATGGATTACTCGATAAATCGTCGTCCTTTTAACTTACTCTGGAGTTCAATCGCCGGATTGTATAACTTACAACTTCTTTTTCGTTGGATGTATCAATTTGGCCAAATGAAACTCTCTGCAACATTTGCTGAGATCTGCGGTTACTTAACCAATAGATGGCTTGCATGTGACTTACTTTTGACCTATGGATAATCGACTCCGTCCCTAGACAAGCGGGACTATGTAACTGGAACGGACCCGGATTAATATTCGGCCAAGGATGTCAAACTGGCAGCAAGCGACAATCCCTGAAGATTACTTCAGAGAAATTTTCTGCCGCTACAACAAAATAAGCATAATCGATTAATAATTGTCATATCATTTTATAATATCGATATTCGGACAAAAGATTTGTGCTATATGTACTACAAAGCTAACAGTAGTTTTTGGGTAATTGCTGTAAGTTAGTGTGTGTATATTAAAGGAAAGTTTTAGGGCTACCCGTAAATAGTATTAATTATGGATCGGTGCAAAGGTGTTAACATTTCCAGAGGACAGAAGAAATCATCTGGACCGATGGGAAATGAATTTTTCGCTTTAGGCGCGAAAAGCAGTCGTGAGGATACTAAAAAGATATCTTCCTGTAAAGGAAACACCATGGCTTCTGATCGTAAGCGTGAAGCTACTTCTGCCGTTTCGAACGCAAGCAAAAAGGCAAAAATGATACGTTTTGAAGAATCTTCGGGATTTACAATACACGAATCGTGGGATCAATTTGCAATTGAATGTGAAACTACGAATTTGATTAATGCAATAAAGGAAAATTTAGATCAGTTTGATGATAATTTTTTACGTATTATATGTGGATTAATAAAACAACTTATGGAGCCATATACTAGAAATAAAGCTGATTACGTGCTTTATTACAGTTTATTCTACTTGGCAAAACTAAAACCACATATTTTTAGAAAAGATATTCTTAGTTCAGCTCTGCTCTATATATTACGTAGAGATGTAAATATTAAAATAAAGCAAAGTTCCAATTCTCAAGCAATTGCATCTAATTTACTAACCAAAGGATTCTATGATAGAAACAACTGGCCCGAACATTTAATTCGTATTTATATAGAAGATGCGATCAATGAACGAACATGGGCAGATAATGATTTTTGTATGCCATATATAAAAAATATCTGTTTTGTTTTTAACACGAAAATTCCCCCAAACAACGCAATGCAGCTTGAAACTCCAGCGTTCGGAGGGTCTGTGGGGCAACATCGAGAAATGCAGTTATGTTTAGAGGATGATTCAGGTGATGGAAGTTCAAACACTATTGAGTCTATTGGATTTGGAATCGATACAGATACCCCTTATTTAATTTTCAATCGTTTCTCAGATATTGAAAATGCAGTGGAAAAAATGGTGGTAGACGCAATAAAAGAACAGCTAAATAAAAGACAGCAAACCGATTGGTATACAAGAAACTTTTTAAAGTTTTTATGTTCCACAGCTGGTTTAGGCGAAGTTCGTTATCTTTGTATAACTCGACTTGAACTGTGGATCCATAATGGAAAACTTGTAAAATATGCCCAGCAGCTTTTGTACTATATATGTTATAATATTAAAGAAAATCATACAAAGGACCACGAAGTATTGGCAATACTTGTCAAAATAAGATTAAAAACTAAGCCCTCTCTAAATTTTTTTATGTTTTGTATTAAAGAAATGATAACACAGCAACCTAACGTGCTTAGATTAATATTAAAGCTAGTGGTACAGAATGAACTGTCAAATACAAGAAATCCAAATAACATGGGAATGCTTGGTAAGTTAAACTGTTTTTATGTACATATGTATGTAAACACAATACTGTATTAAAAATGGTAAATGTATGGTGCCCCAACGAAGGAGGCCTTAAAAAATATTTTTTTTTAATCGTCTTATTTTGCCGCGTAGCCGGCATTATTATTGTTCATATAACGAAAATTGTGTAAAAATAAAACGCTTATTTAAAGCAAATATTTAAATATTTAATGTAAAATAAATATGTAGAAACATTGTAGTGAAGTGTTAGTGTATAATAAGTGCATTATATAAAAGAAAAGTTAACCATAAATCGAGAAATTGTAAAATAAAACTTGTGAAATTTTCAACTTAAAATGAAATATCTCGAAAGCTATAAATTTCCGTCGGCAATAATTGTATATATTCGTGATCTGGAGAATCTCCTCTAGCCTACCATACCCTTCTTAACCCTAAAATCGTGGGATGCTAAACTAAAGTTTTCCCCAATTTTTTCAACAATTTATGTACATATACCTATATATATATAATAATATATTTACCACACTTTACACAGATTTTTCAAGTAACTTGGTTGTTGTTGTTGTTTTAGCGACAGAATTCAGTAGAATTCTGAATCTGTAATTACAAGTTCAACGAGTTAGACATTCGCTTGTGAAAAAAAATACTGATGTTCTGTAACAAACACAAAATGTCGCAATTTCTTTTGCGCAGCGATCTGATGGTATGGACGAGTAGAGGAGATCGTCGAACTTCTTTAAGCAATGGCGGCCCTCGGTCGCGCTTCAAAAAAATAATTTTGGTCGGTCCAACACCAGTTTGTCAATAGTTCTATGTATCGATCTCCTTTCAGCACGCAAAATAACTTTGGATACCCCGGTCTTGGTTCGACCAGGGTTATTTTTTTGAAGCGCGGCCGAAGGCCACTGGTGCAGGAAAGAGTTCGACGCCAATGAATTATGAACACCCCGGTTTTGGACTGATCAGGATTATTTGTTTATTGTTATTGTTTGATTTTTTTTGTAAAAATTCATTTTTTTAAAAATTAAAATAATATAGAATTATTGAAAAAACCGACTTTTCACTCACGGATTTGTAATCTCCGCACCAAAATAGGACGATTTAAAAAAAGTTATAATTTTCACAGCCTTCTTCGTTAGGGTACCCAAACTATACATTTACCTTCAAAATGATTGCTATTTACGATATACATAATTTGAAGCATTATCTGTTAATCCGAATTTGAAAATAAATTGTTTTGTTGTTGTAGCGGGAAAATTCTGCTGAGTTTACCGCCCTTGGCCGGATAAAATCGGCTGGTAACGGACAAATTGTTTAGTTTTTAGATTCAATGATTACAATAATCAATAGTCGGCGATTGGTACCTTAATGACATTTTGCATTCACTTTAAAGCGGAATGTAAAAGATTGTCAAAAAGTTTGTAACGCTTAGTTTTATATATAGATGTTAAAAATCTCTTTTTAAGTTCCAATTTTTTTTTAGAATTTAATTATTATTAACTTGATCCCGGTCATAAGCCGGCTTCGAACATTTGTAGATGGGGCACTATTTGTGTTTGATTTATCTATTGCATAAGGAAATATGGTAATGCCATTGAATTTAAAATGGTGTCATATGAGTTACTAACCTAAACTAAAACTAAACATGCCATATTTCACTCATCATATATGTAGTGTTATTCCGGCTTCCAATTCTTGAACTAAAGCAAGCCTGCGGTATTATCCTTATCATTAATTAAAAATTTTAACTTAAATAGTTTGAGAGGCATGTAACTTAAACTTAGTAGATTGCGCCGCTACGCATACACATAACCAATAAAGTCTGTGTTCACGCAACACTATTTTTTAAGTGAAGTAAAAACAATGTAAATAGGTAATTCAGTTCAAATTTTCTACATGTATTTCTTCTTTATATTTTTAAGTTCAAAATGCAAAAACAAAATTGTATATTCCTATTTTAATTTTTGTGATAACGGGATTTTAGTGTAAGGAGAAGTAAACCTTGGCACCATTAAGTCTGCGTTCAGCTTTAAAATTAGTTACAAAAGTATTAAAAATGATAAAGAAAAATTTGGCATTGATCTTACCAACTTATTTGTTTCCTCAGCTCTAATCTGGGACCATTCTTCTTTCATATCACTTCGCAAAGCCTCTTTACTTGTTATTGTATGCTGACTTTGTTTCAAATTGTTTTTTGAACTTTGTTTCAAATTGTTTTTTAAAATGTTCAAATAACCCCAATTATCCATTGTGGATTCAATAAATTCAAGCTGACCCACACCACCAGCCGCCATGCAACCCCACACCATAATTCCGCCACCTCCGTGTTTAACTGTACCAACAAGATTTTGCTTTTCAAGGGCAGTTTCTGACATGCGTCACACAATTTGTCGACCTTTTATGCCAAAAATGCAAAATTAACTTTCATCCCAAAATATTACTTGTCTCCAGAATTCCGGCGACTTATTCATATAATTATGAGCAAATTCAATGCGCTTTCGCCTGTTTAAAAGTGAAATATATGGTTTCTTTCGAGCGACTCTACTATGATATCCAGCTTTTCGTAAAATTTTTCTAGCACTTTCGGCGCAAATTGTTTTTATACTCTCGCAACCTGGTGCTACAGAGTATAATAGTTTTGTTCACCTAACGGTTGTTTGTATCACCTAAAACTAATCGAGTTAGATATAGGATTATATATATATAAATGATCAGGATGAAGAGACGAGTTGAAATCCGGGTGACTGTCTGTCCGTCCGTTCGTCCGTGCAAACTCTAACTTCAGTAAAAATTGAGATATCTTTATGAAACTTGGTAGACATGTTTCTTGGTACCGTGAGACGGTTGGTATTGCAGATGGGCGTAATCGGACCACTGCCACGCCCACAAAACGCCATTAATCAAAAACAAATAAATTGCCATAACTAAGCTCCGCAATAAGATACAAGACTGTTATTTGGTACACAGGATCACATTAGGGAGGGGTATCTGCAGTTAAACTTTTTTTTTAAGTGGGCGTGGTCCCGCCTCTAATAGGTTTAATGTGCATATCTCCTAAACCGCTAATGCTATAATAACAAAATTCACTGGAAGCAAATGTTTTTAGCAATTCTATTGACGGTGTGAAAATAGTTGAAATCGGGTGGCAACTCCGCCCACTCCCCATATAACGGTACTGTTAAAAACTACTAAAAGCGCGATAAATCAAGCACTAAACACGCCAGAGACATTAAATTTTATCTCTGGGATGGTATGAGATGACTTTATAGGAACCGCGTTCAAAATTAGACAGTGGGCGTGGCACAGCCCACTTTTAGGTGAAAACCCATATCTTGAGATCTGCTTAACCGATTTCAACCAAATTCGGTGCATAACGTTCTTTTCATGTTTGTCATAGTGCGAAAATGGGCGAAATCGGACTACAACCACGCCTACTTCCCATATAACACCATTTTAAATTCCATCTGATTCTTTCACTTTCCACTATGCAAATCAGGTAACAATGACTGTATCGAGATAAAACTTTGCGTGAATAATACGATTAAAGTATGCCACCTCGTGGCCAAAAGTTGTCTAAATCGAACCAAAACTGTTTAAGCCCCTAAGTACTAAATATGTGGACCCAAGTGCCTATAGTTGACCTTCTACCGAAAATATCAGTCAATCCACAAAAAAATCTCAAACGAGTATACTACTTGACTTTGCGAGAGTATAAAATGTTCGGTTACATCCGAACTTAGCCCTTCCTTACTTGTTAATGGTTATATTTACGTTTTCAACAATCTTTGTGGATGTAATTCGAGGGTTAACTTTTACCATATTTATTATTTTCCGTTCTTCCCGGGCTGATAATATTTTCGAACGGCCAGATCGCGGTTTTTACGTTAAAATTCCGTTTTTTTTTTAAATTGTTTACGACGCGCTGGATAGAAGAATACGTTCTTCCAAAAGTTTGCCCAATTCTACTGAAACTTTCGCCAACTTTCCACAACTTAATGATAATTTTTCTTTCCGACAGACTAATTTCTTTTCCTTTGGCTTCCATTTTTATTAAAACTCGTCACGAGCTCTTTAAACGACTAATTATATTAAAACACAATAGAATCTACGCAAAAAGAACGAACAAATTCATGAAAAGTAACGGTATTTCCAATTCTTACACTAAAATCCCGTTATCACAAAAATTAAAATAGGAGTATACATTTTTGTTTTTGCATTTTGAACTTAAAAATTCAAAGAAGAAATACATGTAGAAAATTTGAACTGAATTACCTATTTACATTGTGTTTTTACTTTATTTAAAAAAATGTGTCGGGTGAACGCAGACTTTTGTGGCTATATGTCACAAATTTTTATATAGCCACAATTCTTACTAAGTAACCGTAACTAATTACAAGTAAGGAAGGGCTAAGTTCGGACGAAACCAAACATTTTACACTCTTGCAACTTGCAAGGATCAAAGCCAGCTAAATACCTTCAAGTGTTGGTAAAATTTATATCAATATTACGATAGAACTCAACAGTCATTATTTTACAAAATCGTGATTGGATTACAATCAAATTTGTATTTTATTAACTTACATTCATTAAGGTACCTCACATACCATCACCAATATAAAAGGAGTAAACTAGATATTTGAGAATTTCGATATTAGTTATATGGAAGCTAGGGCAAGTTTTCACCCAATTTTATCCATTTTACGCACAAAGATTCATTATTATTATAATCCGCTTCAATTAATTTTCGACATACAGGCATTTTATTATCAAGAAGGGGTTCTCCGAATTTCTATAATCGCCATTTTAGTATTTTTTAAATAAACCGTTATATGTAGAGTGGGCGTGGTTATCATCTGATTTCATCCATTTTCGCGCTGTTATTGTTGCAATAGCGGCAGAAAACATTCCTGAAGTAATTTTGAGGAATGGTATCGAGTTGACAGTCCTTGGCCGGAATAAATCCGGGTCCGTTCCGGTTACGTAGACCCGACTGTCGTGGGA